CTGGAAGGAGGAAGAAAATGAGCGATAAGATGGGAGAATGTTTTTTTTTTCTCCTTCTTCTTCTCCTTCGTTCTCTTTCTGTCTTTGAATACCCGAGAAGAGGAAGGAAATGAGCGATAAGATGGGCGAGTGTTTTTTTTTTCTACTTCTTCTCCTTCGTTCTCCCTCTGTTTTGAATACTCGAGAAGAGGAAGAAAATGAACGATAATATTGGCGAGTGTTTTTATTATTATTATTATTATTATTATTACTATTATTCTCGTCCTTATCATTCGTGCTCTTTCTGTCTTTTGAACAACCGAGAAGAGGATGAAAATGAGGGATAAGATGGGCGTATTTTTTATTATTATTATTCTCCTTATCCTTCGTTCTCTTTCTGTTTTTGAATACCCGAGAAGAGGAAGAAAATGATGGACGTGTTTTTTATCATTATTCTTATTCTCCTTATCCTTCGTTCTCTTTCTGTCCATGAACACACGAGAAGAAAGAGATGAAATGGTCGAGAGAGAATAAGCAAGTACCTGCCTTCTTGGGGGAGTTCAAGCAGGTACAAAATCTACTGTTGTTCGCAAAATCCTATTGCCTAAACCCGATGAAAAAAGACAGAGATGCACTCCAGAGACCGCTAATCCCAATACATATCCAAACAACAGTCACATTTCCAATAATCAGCATCCCCAGCCTGTTCATGAACAACCAGTCCTCATCACATAACACCCTCAGCCTAACTGCCATTAGTCATCATCAAAACCATCTTCGCCTCGATGCAAGGAAGAATGACCCCTATGCTGCAACCCATTTCTTCTCGCTCGTTAATCACAGCTTCTCCATCATGTCAGCCTTTCCTTCCTTACTCGTTAATTCTATCCTTTTGTTTCCCTATTTCCTGCTTCTCGTGTTCTCTCTGCCTCTTGGTAACACGTTTGCTTTTACTTCTGGACACACTTTGGTTGGATCATTATAACTGTGTTTATCAATATCATTATTGTCATTGCTATCATCATTAGTATATATTATTGTTATTATTATTATTATTACTATCATCATCATCTTCATCATTATCGTCATTATTGTTATCGTCATTATCATTATTGTTATTGCCATCCTCATTATAACCATATCGTTTTCGTTATCATTATCATTACAACTATATCATAGTCGTTATCATCATTATAATCACCATCATTACTATCAATATCATTATCATGATAATTATTATCATTATTGTTCTCATTATCATTATTATTATTTTCATCATTATCTTTATTATTATAACTATTATCATTCTTGTTGTTATCATTATTATCATTATTATTATCATTATCATCATTGTCATTATCATTACCTGTATACATTATTCCACACATATTTCTTCTGAAAAAATGGCAATCCTATAATCATATGATAAAATGGCGATTCTATAATCCTTTAAGAAAATAGCAATTCTATAACCTTTTGATAAGATGACAATTCTATATTTTTTTGTGAAATGACAATTCTATAATCCTTTAGTAAAATAACAATTCTATAATTCATAAAAAGGCAATTCTATAATTTTTTAAAAATGTCAATTCAATAATCTTCAAAAATGTCAATTCAATTACCTTCCAAAAACTGGCAATTCTATAATAATCTAATCAATCAGGTAAGAGTGAAATGACTCATCAACTCGTGCACCCGATGCAACCAGGTCAAACAGAAACGCCAAATGGAATAAGAGGGTTTAAGGATGTTCTAAATGAGATGAAAAGGCTCTTGCAGAAATTATATATATATATATATATATATATATATATATATATAATATATATATATATATATATATATATATATATATATATATATATATATATATATATATATATATATATATATATATATATATATATATATATATATATATATATATATATATATATATATGACCATATATACATGGGAAACGAGAAGCTAGTACTGAATAGACCAGGTGACGCAATGGGGAATACGGAATAGCTTTCATATATCACAGGTTGGGGGGAGCTTGGTTAATCTTCACCTGCGATGCTAAGGAGCTAATAGTGTTGAATAAAATGTTCGTAAACAGAGACTAAAAAAGGACCTTAGTAAGCTTCCAGAACATTAGGAAAAAGATTTGGTAATCCGAGGGCCCCTTTTTTTTTTTTTTTTTTTTTTTTTTTGTATGCTTAGACATACATTAACATGCGATGTAAGTGAAACAGAACTGAATAAAGCGTTCGTAGATAGAGACCAAAAAGGACCTTAATAAGCTTCCAGGGACTTGACGAATCTTAGGAAAAAGCTTTGGTGTTCCAGAATTCCCTGTTTCGTTTGCTTACCCTCTCATACATACATCAACATGCGATGTAAAAGATCTAACAGTACTGAATAAAGTGTTCGTACATTAAAGCAAAAAAAGACCTTAGTAAGCTTCCAAGGTCTCGAAGAACCTTAGGAAAAAGCTTTGGTAATTCCGAAATCCCCGTTTTTTGTGTACTGATTTAAACATACATTAAACATGCGATGTAAAAGAACTAACAGCGCTGAAGAAAGAGTTGGTAGATTAAAGAAGAAGAAGAAGAAGAAGAAGAAGGAGGAGAAGAAGAAGACTTTAGTAAGCTTCTAGGGACTCAAAGGAATAAAGTTTGGTAATCCCGAAGTCCCCGTGTTTCTGTTCTGACATACATCAACATGCAACATCCAAAAGGACCTTAGTAAGCTTCCAGGGACTCAAAAAACCTTAGGAAAAAACTTTAGTAATCTCGAGGTCCCCGATTTTCCGTGCACTATTCGAGACATACATCATCATAGGATCAAAAACATTATAGCCTGAAAAGGAGGGATAACTACATACCTCAAGATGCCATAAAGAGGGATATAGGATGTGGGTGAAAAGGTGGATCATCTCATTGACATGTTACCGCCAGCCTGTTGCGCGGTTTTAAGGTGTGCGGGAGAGTGAGTATGATGTAAGAGCGAAGCGAGATGAAAGGGTAAGGAAAGGATGGTGAGGAAGGGAGAGAATGGAAGAGGAGAGGAAAGGAGGGCAGGGAAAGGGAGGGGAGGGAAAGGGAAGGGATAGGAGCGGAGAGAAGAGGAGAGGAGAGTAAAGGAGGGGAGGGAAAGGGAGGGGAAGGGCGGGGAGGGGAGCAGGGATGAAAGGGAGGAGAGGAAAGGAGGGGAGGGAAAGGGAGGGGAGGGGAGCAGGGAGGAAAGGAGAGGAGAGGAAAGGAGGGAAGGGGAGGGAAAGGGAGGGGAGCGGAGAGGAAAGGAGGGGAGGGGAGCAGGGAGGAAAGGAGAGGAGAGGAAAGGAGGGAAGGGGAGGGAAAGGGAGGGGAGGGGAGCAGGGAGGAAAGGAGAGGAAAGGAAAGGAGGGTAGGGAAAGGGAAAGGAGAGGAGCGGAGAGTAAAGGAGGGGAGGGGGAGAGACGGTCGAGGAGGGGAGAGGAGAGAATAGGATAGGGTAGGAGTGGTAAGGAGGGGAGGGGAGGGGAGGCGAGATAAAAAGGTTAGGAAAGGATAGAGAAATGGAGAGAGGAAAGGAGGGGAGGAGAGAGGAGAGGAGAGAAGAGGAGCGGAATGGGAAAGGGGGAGAGGAGAGGCGAGATTAAGAGGTTAGGAAAGGATAGGGAAGAAAAGGAAAGGAAAGTAGAGGAGAGGAGAGGACAGAAGAGGATAAGATAGGATAGGATAGAGGAGGAAAGGAAACGAGACGAGAGGAGAAAAAAAGGAAATGAGGGGAGAACAGGAGTGAGGATTGGAAACGATTCGACAGGAGAGGATAAGAAAAATCTTTAGAAGGGGGGGGGAGGAAAGACACTATGAAGAGGTAAGGAAAGGAAAGAAATAAGAGGAGAGGAAAAGAGAGGAGAAGAGAGGAGAGAAGAGAAGGGAGAGGAGAGGAAGAAAAGAGAAGAAGAGAAGGAGGAGAGGAAGAAAAGAGAGAGAGAAAGGAAAGGAGAGGAGAGAGAAGAAAGGAAAAGAGAGGGAAAGAGAGGAGAGGAGAAGAAAGGAGAGAAGAGAAGAAGAGAGGGGAGAAGAATGAAGATGGGAGAAGAGAAGAAAGCAAAGGAAAGGAAAAGCCAAATTGATGAAATGAAGTGAAAACAAATCAAAGCAAAACAAAGGAAAATGAAGAGATATAAAGACGAAAACAACAACAGCAAAAACAAACACATAAACAGAGATTATTTTATAATAACTAACCTTAAAGACAACATGAATAACACACCAAAACAAAAAATAACAACCATGATAATAATGAAAAAATACAAGTACACTGACCGTACCAACCAACCCAACTTCTGCACAGGTCTTCCCAGCGCCAGGGGAGACCCAGCCGAAGAAAATAGTTTACAGTCACCCAGAAACTATCACGCGAAGAATTCCAAATAAGATGAAGACCACTTAATGGCAGACTCGAGAGTAAGAGGAGGAGTTGGCATGGACATAAACGGGACGTAATATCCTCCAGGTCCACTTGCACGAAAACAAAAATAGGGGGAGAGCGTTCATCTACTGAATAGAGCTTTCAGAATGGGGTTACGTTCTTAGGCCCCCCAAAAATGATATCTATTGTGTTGCTTTAATGATGAAGATTAATGAACGCACAGGGATGGGAATTCGAAGTCTGGGTAGCCATTGTTTTTTTTTTTTCTTTTAAAGAATCGGACAAAGGAGTTTGAAAAAGATAAGACGAACGAAGTAAATTTTTTTGAGGGGTGGGAGGAGATAACAATGAATTATGAATATGAAGAATATGACAGTTAAGCTGGCGAACTTGCTGGAAAACTAGAAGAATAGAATGTCAGAATTAAAAAAAAAAAAAAAAATCTGAAAGAGATATTTGTTACTACCGAATAGAACAGAATAGCGAATGACAGAGAGATAGAGAGAGAGAGAGAGAGAGAGAGAGAGAGAGAGAGAGAGAGAGAGAGAGAGAGAGAAAGAGAGAGAAAGAGAGAGAGAGAGAGACCGAGACCGAGAGAGAAAGAAAAAAAA